AAGATTGAGGGCAGGAGGAGAAGGGGACAACAGAGGATGAGATGGTTGGATGGCATCACCAACTCAATGGACATGGATTTGGGTGGACTCCAGGAGTTGGTGATGGACAGGGAGGCCTGGCATGCTGTGGTTCATGGGGTCGCAAAGAGTTGGACATTACTGAGCGACTGAACTGAACTGAACGGAAACAGCAAGTAATAAGTCATTGGTGAAAAACATAAAGCGAGAGATGTACATTAAAATGGTATATAACATAACCACATTTAAGAGTGTATTCCAACATCAAACGGCAAAGTTCAACAGTGCGAAACTGCAATTACTTTTGCACCAGCCTAATACCACTGCTGCTTTATTGTGTTTGTGTTTTCTAGATAGATATTTTCTCAGCTCTTTATTTTCTATATTGCTGAGACTTTTTGTTTGAGATGTTTTCTTATTAACAGTAACTTCATAGATGTTTCTTTCTTTTCCAAGCTGTCTGTTGCATTCACATCGATTATAGTATTTGTGTTTGACATGTTTGTTTTCTTTTTTATTTTTGGTGTGTAAGGGTGGGAGTAAAATTTTCTTCTTCATATATTACTTTTCTACTTTGCTGTATTGAGCAAGGTTTATGTATTTTTCTCTTCCCATAAAAATTTAAAAGACCTGCTCCTTGATTATTTTTTCCCAAATCATTATATATAAGTGTTACAATTTCTAAGGTAAAAATCTTAAAATTTATAATTGTCACATAGATGCTATAACTTAGTTATGTTTAGAGTTCCTGATGTCATAATCCTTTTCTCTCAGAGCTCTGTAATTGTTGTCCAACAATGTTCGGTGCTGGTGTTAATTACATTCTGTTTCTTTTGCAGATAGCTGCTGTTGTTGTTTTGGGTCTTAAGGATTTTCTCTTTATTTATTTTTTAATATTTATAATTTTTTTTAATTTGGCTGCTCTGGATCTTAGTTGCAGCATGTAGGATCTAATTCCCTGACCAGGGATCAAACCCAGGCCCCCTACATTGGGAGCATGGGGTGTTAGCCACTGGATCACCAGGGAAGTCCCTCTCCTTATTTTTTGAATTTGTTTTTTCTTTCAATGTCCAACTCTCTATCCTTTTTTTCACCCTCAAGCTTTTAGAAAATTCTTTGAATGTATTTTTATTAATTGTTTTTTGAAGCATTCATTTTACTATGCGTTGCTTGTATTGACTTTTTATTTGGGCAGTCAGGTTTTTTATTTCCATAATCTCTTTCTTGTTTTCAGATTGCTCCTTACATGAAAGGCTGCTATTGTTACTGACAATAAAGTATATTTTCCTAACTTTTTAACATCTTTATTGGAGTATAATTGACGTATAATAAACTGCATATATTTAAAATGTGCAGTTTGATACATTTTGGTATGGGTATGAAACTATGAACCATGAAACTTACCACAATCAAGGTAATGAAGTAATGGATCTGTCTCTCCAGTTTTCTTATGCTCCTTTTTAATCCTTCCTGCCCCTCCTTTCTTGCATTTTCTAGAATTTTATATAAGTGGGATCATACTAGGTACTTTTTTAAAAAACATTTCTAGATAAGAAATTCAAACATAAAAGTAGAGTATAATGAACTAAAGTATGTTCATTACCTAAATGTAACAATTATAACATTTTCCCATACTTTATTTGCTTCTTAAAAATACTTTGTTTTATAACAGTTTTAGGTTTACAGAAAAGTTGAGCAGAGTTGAAAGTATTCCCATATATCCATTCTTCCTCTACACATTTCTCCCCATTATTAACTTCTTCCAAGAGTGTGGCATGTTTGCTTGGCTTCCGCAGTGGCTCAGCGGTAAAGCCTCTGCCTGCAATGCAGGAGATGCAGGAGATCTTCCCGGGTCAGTCCAGGAAGGTTACAGTCCACGGGGCTGCCAAGAATTGGACAAAACTGGTCATGCACATACATTACGTTATACACACACATTTGATACAGTTAGTGAACAAGTGTTGATGTATTATTCTTGACTGACGTCCACAGTTAGGGTTCCCTCTGTGCAGTTCCGTGAGTTTCTGTGCTAAGCCGCTCCGGGCATGTCCAACCCTTAGTGACCCCACGGGCTGTAGCCCGCCAGGCTCCTCACTCCAAGGGACTCTCCAGGCCAGAATGCTGGAGTAGGTTGCAGTGCCCTCCTCCAAGGGATCTTCCTGACCCAAGGATGGAACCCGCTTCTCTTTAGGGCTCCTGCGTTGGCAGATGGGTTCTTTACCACTAGTGCCACCTAGGAAGCACCCTACGGGCTTTTACTGTAGGCTTCTTTTTTTCTTTTTTTAGTTTATTTTTCCCCCCCATATTTTGTTTATCCAGTTGGGTTCTTCCAGTTTGAAGCTAATGTTAAAAAAAAACAAAGCTGTTATGAGCATTACTGTGCACGTCTTTGTGTGGATGTTTGCTCTCATTTCTCTTGGGTAAATGCCTAGGAATGGACTGACTGAGTCATATGGTAGGAGCATGTTTAACTTTCTCAGAAACTGGAAAGTGGTTGTATCATCTTACATTTCCACCAATAATGTATGAGAGTTCTGATTGCTCCACATTTTGCCAACATTTGGAAATGGTCAGCCTTAAATTTTGGCCATTCTGATAATTATATTTGGAATCTCATTGTGGTTTTACTTTCCATTCCCCTAATAATGATGTTGAGCATATTTCATGTGCTTATGGACCATTTGTATATCATCTTTGTAAAGTACCTTTTCACATCTTTCTTCCATCTTTGTATCAGCCTGTTTTTCTGTTAGCATGTTTTCAGAATTCTTTATTCTGTATACAAATCCTTTATCAAATATGAAATATGCAAATATTTTCTCCCAATCTATGTCTTGTGTTTTAATTCTCTTAACATTGTCTTTCAAAGAGCAGAAGTTCTTTAGTTTAGTGAAGCTTAATTTATTAACTTTTTTAATCAATGGAGCTTTGATACTGCTACCAAGAACTCTTTGTATAACCCAAGGACAAAGATATTCTCCTGTGTTTCCTTCCAGAAGTTTTATAGATTTGTTTTACTTTTAGGTCTGTGATCCATTTTGAGTTAATTTTTGTATGGGGAGGAAGGTATGGACTGAGGTTCATTATTTTTGCATATGGATATCCAGTTGTTCTAGCACCATTTGTTGAAAGGAGTCTTTTCTCCATTGACTTTCCTTTGCATATTTGTCAAAAATCAGTTGACCATGCGTGTGGATCTGTTTGTGAACCCACTCTGTATTCTGTTGCATTGATTCATTTGTCCATCTTCATAATGGTACCACATTCTTGGTTATGTAGCTTTATAGTAAGACTTAGAGTCAGATGGTGCAAGTCCTTCAACTTAGACCTTTTTAAAGGTGTTTTCCTATTCTAGGTGTTTTGCACTTCTCTATAAATTGTTAGAATATATACAGTGATCTATGTATAGTTTTCATTACAGAATGGAAGTTGAATCATTCTCAATAAATCATTTAGTTAGTCTTTAATGCTCAGAACTAAGACACAACAATACAAAGCAAAAACTTCAGGTATCACACAATATTAATAACTTTAACTGGATAAGTGATCTCAATATTGTATGCCAGGTGAGCACTCAGAATTACGCTTGCCTTTTTATGTCAGTTAAGGTCCTTTGGTTAGAGGTAACAGTAAGGAAAAGGGGACTTATTGAGAAAATCCTGAAGTAGCTCATAGAAGTGAAAGGTGAGTTGCAGGAACCAGGGAAGCTCTAAGAACCTTAGAGATTGGTCCTGAGGACTTGATGTCCTTATGATTCGTTTTTCCTAGGCTCTTCCATGTAGTTGAGTCCATGCTCTATAAGAAGTAAAGGAACTTTCTCCATCAGCTCCACTTGGAAAAATTCTGATAAGCAGTCCGATTGGCCCAGCCGGGGTCACCTTCTTCAGCAGAGTAATCACTACTATTCACTACTATAAAATTATTACTAATTAGTCATTGCTATTTAATCACTACTACTAGTAAGGGAGACAGTTCTAATTGATCAGCTCCAGAGTCTGGGTATTGTGATGAGCACTTTTCCCAAAGGAAGGTGATGCTGTTATCAGAAAAAAGTATGGAAAGCAGTTGCTGGGGTGGATGCCCACTATTGTAGTACACATTACTGAAAGAAAGATTTGATGACTTCAAAGTAATAGATTAGTCAGCGGGTTTTCTTAAATTTCCCTTGATATACGCTACCATCTAAATGGTTGTTCCTACAGGGCTAGTCTGTTCTCTTTGGGCCACGTGGCTTATTATATATAAACTTAAGAAATACTATTTCTTTCAATACTTGAAAGAGTCTAAGACAGTATATCATAAAATGTTCTCACTGCACACACTCAAAAGTAACCATGTGAAGTAATGGATATGCTAACTATATTATGATCGTTTCACAATATATATGTATATTAAATCATCACATTCTGCAGCTTAAACTTACACAGTGCTGTGTATCATTTATATCTCAATAAAGCTGGGGGGGGAATGAAATTACAGAAAACAGTTAAAGAAAAAAGGACTGTCCTGGTGGTACAGTGGGTAAGAATCCACCCGCCAATGCAGGGGACTCGTTTGATCCCTGGTCCGGGAAAATGGTACGTTCTGCAGAGCAGCTCAGCCCAGCTGCCACAGCTGCCGAAGCCCTGTGCCTAGAGCCTGAGCTCCACAGCAAGAGTAGGCACCGCGCTGAGAAACCCCTGCATCACAGCTAGAGAGGAGCCCCCGCTCGCCACAGCCGGAGAGAAGCCTGAGCAGCAACGAAGACCCAGCACAGGGGAAAATAAGCAAACCGTTAAAGAAAAGAAATACCAGTTTTTACAACTTGATTTTACACTTCTAGAATTATTGCTGGTATTTTTAAATTTATGTATCCTATGGCATCCCATAGTCTTCATTAATATTTTTCTCTCCTTTCTACTTTAGGATGACTGGGAATGTACACAAGAACGAGCTGTTTGTTTTGTGATGGCTTTTAGCATGTGCTGACATACTATTCTGCGATGGCATCAGAGACTGAGAAGTCTCATGCTTTACTCCAGTCGTGCAGCACTGAATCTCTTCTTTCCAGCCTTGGTCTGGGCTTATTCTGTGCAGTAGCTGACAGACTTCTTCAGTTTCCCATAATTCAACAAAATGCCTGGCTTCGTGCACTTTCAGATAACTCAGTACACTGCGTGATTGGCATGTGGTCATGGGCAATAGTCATTGGAATCAGGAAGAAGACTGACTTTGGAGAAATCATTTTAGCTGGGTTTTTAGCCTCTGTTATTGATATAGACCACTTTCTGCTATCTGGATCCCTGTCTTTAAAGGTAAGAAGCCTATATGTTTAATTTTTCTGGGCTTTGATTTCTTTGACGCCATGATATTGATATTTATAGCATCAGTTTAGTTAGAGCTAGAGAAGATTAGCCTTATTTTAAAATAAGAAAGCCCATTCATCCAACATTTTTGAGCACCAAACACTTTCCTGAGGGTTCAGATATGTTACTGACCACATTATATCATATCACAAGGTGCCGTGGATGTGCCCAGAGCAAAGGTTCAATAGTTGTAACTGAGGGGTTCCATTCTGGCTTTATAGGAGATGTTTTAACCAAGTCTTTTTTTTTTAATTGAAGTATAATTGATTTAGAATGCTGTGTTAATTTCTGCTGTACAACAAAGTGGTTCAGTTGAATATATATATATATATATATATACATTCTTTTTTAAAAAAATATTCTTTTCCATTATGGTTTATTGCAGGATACTGAGTAGAGTTCCTTGTGCTATACAGTAGGACATTGTTGGTTATCCATTAGCCAAGTCTTGAAGGAAAGATTAAGTGCTGTGCTGTGCTGTGCTCAGTTGCTTCAGTCGTGTCCAACTCTTTGCAACCTGTGGACTGTAGCCCGCCAGGCTCCTCTGTCCATGGGATTCTCCAGGCAAGAATACTGGAGTGGGTTGCCGTGCCCTCCTCCAGGGGATCTTCCCAACCCAGGAATCGAACCTATATCTCTGGCATCTTCTGCATTACAGGCAATTTCTTTACCTGATGAGCCACCTGGAAAGCCCATTAGCACACTAAGACCCCCTAAACCTTGTTCCCATTAGCTCATGGTATCAGAATGTGGAGAAGCAGACCTACAGATTTGTCTCCTGACTTCCTTCATAAGGCATGTATCTGGTGTTATCAACTGCACACAGGCCTCCTGAATGCATGGTTTCTCTAGCCCTGTAGAGCCTCTCAAACTGCTTCTGTAAGTGACATATGCAGTAAGCAAGGGCACCAATATAAAGACAAATGCTAATTGAATAATACCGGAGCAGCATTTCACATACTCCTGACAAGCACAGGATATGAAATAAGTGAAGAACAGAACCAGAAAAAATCATGTCCTAGAGCAGGACTGGTAGGACTTTACCTATTTTTGCATGTGAGCTAAGTCATTTCAGTCATATCCGACTCTGTGTGACCCTATGGACTGTAGCCCACCAGGCTCCTCTGTCCATGGGGTTCTCCAGACAAGAATACTGGAGTGGGATGCCATGTGCTTCTCCAGGGAATCTTCCCCACCCAGGGATGGAACCTGGATCTCTTAAGTCTCCTGTATTGCAGGTGGGTTCTTTACCACTGATGGAACCTGGGAAGCCCTATCTATTTTACTTCTATGCTTTTATGATATATCCTTCTTTTATTATTTACCTATGAATAAAGGTTCTGCGTGAATATTTTAGGAATCAGGCAAGCAACAGAAGTATCTTGTTTCCTCCTTGTGGGTGTGTTAGTCGCTCGGTCGTGTCCAACTCTTTGCGACCCAGTGGACTGTAGCCTGCCAGGCTCCTCTGTCCATGGGATTTTCCAGGCAAGAATATTGGAGTGGGTTGCCATTTCCTTCTCCAGGGGATCTTCCCGACCCAGGGATTGAACCTGGGTCTCCCGCCTTGCAGGCAGACTACCGTCTGAACCACCAGGGAAGTTTCTTCCTTAGAAACTATTAATATAAATAGGCTTCACAAATGAAAGTGTGAATAGTCAGTATCTGTCCACACATCCAGAGCATAAATACTCATCATCTCAACAGGAGGCTGTTGCTCTCCTCCAAGCAGTGACTGCCATAGGCGCCCCCACCCCACCCTGTTGTGGGGAGCATGTTATGCTGTGGGCATAGAACTTAAAACCCTGGTTTGATTCCTGGGTCAGGAAGATCCCCTGGAGAAGGGATAGGCTCCTCTCTCCAGTAGCTCCCTAATAGCTCAGATGGTAAAAAATCCACCTGCAATGCAGGGGACCTGGGTTCAATCCCTGGGTTAGGAAGATTCCCCTGGAGGAGGGCATGGCAACCCACTCCAATATTCTTGCCTGGAGAATCCCCATGGACAGAGGAGCCTGGCAGGCCGCAGGCCATGGTGTCACAGAGTCGGACATGACTGAGCTGCTAAGTACAGCATAGCGTAAAACTTAAAGGTAGAGACTAAAGTGGCATGATGCAGAAATGTTTTATGTTTTGACAAAATAGAAATAGGCAACTAAAAGTATGGAGAAGGGAGCGGGAATAAGAATGTAGAATAAACAAACTCTGATTGATGTTTAGCAAGTTGTTGTTGGCCAGTCTCTAAGTCATGTCTGACTCTGCGACAGCATGTTCTGCAGCACGCCAGGCCTCCCTGTCCTTCATCATCTCCAAGAGTTTCCCATGGATCATTCAGGAATTAAGCCTGAAAAACTTTCATTTGTTTAGATGTTGATTACATTTCTACAATGGTTTAGAAATTCTATTGGTTTATTTAACTCAACTTTCAAATCATGTTTAATGATCTTTCTAATGCTTTTATAAATAAATTTGAAAGTATTCAGGGCTAATATACAATAGTTACAACAAAAAATATTCCCCTTTTATGCATTTATTAATTGAAGAATGGAGTGGGGTAGAAGCAGAATAGGGGAAAGGGATTAAGAGGTACAAACTGCTAAGTATAAAATAATTAAAATACAAAGATGTAATGTACAGAGTAGGAAATATAACCAATATTTTATAACAATGTTAAATGGAATATAACCAATAAAAATATTGTATAGCTATGTTGTATGTCTGAAATTAATATACCACTGTAAATCAACTATATGTCACAGTTTTTTATGTTTAATTGAAGAGTATTTTTTTCAAATGTGAGACTTTTTCATTGCTCTCAGAGGCCCCAAACAATTCTTTAAAACTCCAAATGTACTCTAACCATACATTTAGGATATAAATTGTATTGTGACTTTTCTGAGCACATAGTAGGAAACTTTAAAAAGTTAGTCATATGTTCTTGAGATCTTGATTTCATTTTTAGTGCAAAGTGTATTTGGAGGTGACATAGAAAATGTTCCCTTTGCATTTCCAGTAGCCTGCAGGAAAACACATACTTATGATGTTAGGCAGCATTTATAAAGTGTTGTTTGCCAAGAAGGAGATGATACTAGCTATCGCTTTCTCCCTGCAGGCTGCTCTGAGTCTTCCACGACGCCCTTTCCTTCACTGTTCTACTGTGATACCCACTGTGGTTCTGACCCTGAAGTTTACAATGCACTTTTTCAAGCTCAAAGACTCATGGTGCTTTCTTCCCTGGATGTTATTTATATCATGGACCTCACACCACATCCGAGATGGAATTCGCCATGGCTTGTGGATATGCCCATTTGGAAAAACTTCTCCTTTGCCATTTTGGCTTTATGTAATAATCACATCATCTCTACCTCACATCTGTTCATTCATTATGTATTTCACAGGGACCAGACAAATGATGTCTTCAAAACATGGAATTCATATTGATGTGTGAGATAACCACATGGCAGTCTTTGAGAACCACTGGTTGAGACAATGACAACCAACATTAAAATGAATTTAAAACACATATTAGGTACTTATATTAATTATTATAATTCCTAAATCCTCTTGCTCAGGCGGCATGTACATTTCTTAAAAAATTATCTGTATTTGTTGTATTCCTTTCTTCTATAACACTGTAGTGTAATATCAGAGTTTCATTCACTCCGTGGTATATTTTATTATTTCTTTTCTTTATCTGGCTTTACTAATATTATTAGATTAACATCCAATTAAGTTTTCTGGAAATATACCTTTAAGGTAATTCATTTCCTGATGAAAAACAGCTCAAATTTTAGGATAATTAATTTGTGGAACGTTAGCATTTTGTTTGGATCCAAGTTTTCCTGAGATATTGAAACAATAAAATGGGCAAAGTAAATGAGATTATGAATAAGATGTATAATGAATGCTAACGTTTCTTCATTTCATATATTTTGATCCTGACTCATTTGCCAAGTGCTTTAGTGAGTTGTGATTACTGGCAGAAACTGCTTTAGTGCACTTATAATATTCTTAAAAGATGATAGCATTAAACCTAGGTTATTGTTTCAGAAATAACTTTGGGAAATTATTATAACATGTTGGCTGTAGTAACAGTCTACTGAAGTATTATTTTTCAGTATCTTTGCCCTCAAATCTCATGTGTTGGAATTTTAACTGTTTTGAAAAACATAACTAAATTTAACAAAATATTTGTTTAAAGTTAACATTAACAAAATATTGATACTTGACCCATCACCATAGAATTCACAAGAAAGGACCTAACCAATAATGTCATTTCAAATGTAAGCTCCTGAATGTGCCATTAAAATTGCTTTAGTTGCTATCAATTTGTTTATATGCTATTCTAAAATGTATACCAGCTAAATCATTTTTTAAAAATTTGCTTGATACTGAGAGACAATTTTTTTTCCCCCAAAAAAGGAATATTAAGAGATTGGCTTTTTCCTCTGTTCTTTAAGTTGATCTTCTGTTAAAAATGATTAGCCTTCATTGGAGAAGGAAAATTGAGTTGCTGTAAGTTTTACATTTGCAGTTTAATGTTACTTTGATATAAGTCAGTGCCCCCAAAGCACCTGTTTTTGTTTTTGTAGCATTTGTACCAGCTGCTGTCTTCAGATTTTCTTACAGGTTTGAGTTTGTAATGCTGGTGATTTTGTGCCTTAATCTCTGAGAAGTGATGAAGCGATGCCTTATCCAAAGCAGATTTTTCTTATTAAGTTAAACAGAGTTCTGTAAATTGTTATAAAGGGTCAGGCTGTTTAGTTTTTCTTCTTTTTGTTAACTAATTGGTTGCAATCTGTTATACTTTATAAAATAATTCACCCTTACAACCCATTCTAGTCTTTCCAGAGCAATCACTGTGTCAATTTGGTTGGTTTAATAGTATACATTATATAGTGGGGGTAAATTGATTAAGGTAGAGATTTTTTAAAAGCATATGATTTTAGAAATCCATGGAAATAAAGTTATCTTGTGTAATTTTTCTGACTAAATTACAAAACTCCCTTTTTTCCCTTCTCTGTATTAAACAAATTAATATCATAAAAATATAGGGCCTTAAATAAGAATGTTACATGGGCATTTTGGGAGTTGTCCTAGCTTTATTAGAGTGGGAACTCACTTTGACCATGTCTCCTTGCTTAAGCAGTAACTTCAGATTTTAAGTGTGTGTTTATCTTTGTTCCTACCTCTACCATCAGAAACATTTATTGTCCTCTAAGTGATCTCTGAAAGTAGTGGTTGTAACCTGTAGAGATGCAGTGACCAAGTTCTCATGCCACCATTTTGTTCCTTCTCTTAGTGGAAGAGCTTGTGTCAATTCAACTTATGTTCTGTCTTCCTTGTACGTGTGTGTTTTCTCTATTCTCTAGACATTCTCCTTTCTTGTAATGTTTCTCTCGACTATATCACTGATCTGACTTCCCAGCCTACTGTTTTCTTAAGCCATTTCCATTATGCTGGCTACTCAGGAGAACTTCTACCAATGAACTGTTTTCTATTCATCCCAGGGCTACTTTCTTTTAGCAGTAGACTAAGAACCCCTATAGTGTATGGGTTAAAACTCCCATTTATCCTCACTTCCCTTCTTTACCTTAGACCTCTTTTCTCCCAGGCAGCCTCTTCCTCCCAATCAGGCACATATTTCTTGTCTCCTTTCTCTTTTGGCTGGTGGAACAATTACTTAGTTTTTTCCCATTTTCCCAACTGAAGGAGAGAGGAATAGGGGCTGTTCTGGTACATGCTCACTGCTGTCACAGCTAAACTTTTTATCCATCGCAATTCTCAGTCTGCTTCATTTGATATCTCATTATATTATTTGCTCCAAATCCTCCTCACTCACTCAAACGAGCTTCTTAAGACTCAAGCTTCACCTTCTTTGATGATATGAGCCACTGGATCACTTTTTTCCTTTTATTTAACCTTGATTTTATCCTCAGTCTTCAGATGACCCAGAAAGCTAGACTTCAGTATCTCTTCCTCTGTGCCACTGACTCTCATCACCACATCACATCAGCCATCCACCAGGACAACCGGCCTCTGTGCCTCTTTTTCAGGTGACACTGCACACCTCTGAGATCTCCAACTCTGTTTCCTTTATCTAGACCAGTTGTTCTCTAACATACAACAGGATCACCTATGACGCTTATTAAAACAGGGACTGCTTAAGACCCACCCCAGAATTTGCATTTCCAGTAAGTTCCCAGCAGCTCTTACTGCTGTTCAGGAACCATCCTTTAAGAGCCACTACTCCAGACCCATCCTGTTTCTTTAACTTCATTTTCCTCCCATCCCTTCTCTTCAGTGATACCTTTCATTTTTTCTTAACTTTCCTGCTGCTGAAAGTGAAGTGAGTCACTCAGTCATGTCCGACTCTCTTGTGACCCCATGGACTCTACAGCCCATGAATTCTCCAGGCCAGGATGCTCTGGAGCGGGTAGTTGCTGGGTACATTTAATTCTGTCCTGGCCCCTACGTGTGCAATGCTGTAAGTTCCTATTGCAACACCCTAATACTCCAGACTTCCCTGTGTACTATCCAGTTAATCAACCCAGAATAATCCTTAGTCTGCTTTCCCCAGTTCTTTCTCCTTAAGATCACATGTCTTTAAAGTAGTTATGGAACCACGCTGACTACAGTTCATGCCAACTAACTTCAACTGGGTATTAAGTACTTTGCTCACTGCCGAACAGTTTTTTTCCCAAAATATTCTACTGGACAAGCCAAGGCTCAGAATATCTGTCCATGTTAGATGCAACCACAAGCCAGGCTCAAAGCATTCCACTGATCTGAGAAACTCTTGTTAATAATCAATCTCTACTGTTACTTTGCATAAATCCAAGGTATTTCCACATGTCTCCCTTGGCATTTTTTTACTTCCCAGGAATCATGATTATAACCAAAGGGTTTCTGAAGCATTTTACCTTTTTGACTGACCTTGCAAGCAGTTATTTAGCTTACATTCCCAGCAGCAGCAATTAATGCTGCTTCAAGGTCGTGGCAACATTCAAATCCCATCAGCCCGAAGGCTGAACAGGAGGGGAATGTCAGATAAGGGCTCTAACACTCCAATCTTCTTCAGACATCTGTGTGAGCTCACCTAGAAAGCACCCATCTGAATTCACACATCCCTACTCATTCAGTATTCATTTGACTTAAGCACCGTCCAGGTTCTCAGATCAGCAGTATTGATGCCATGCTCATGAAGTGGAAGTCAGATGAAATTTCCATAAATATCTAGGTGACAATAAAGTGTGGTATAAAGGTTATATAACAGACCATACCCAAAACCTTTGACTGTGTGGATCACAATAAACTGGAAAATTCTGAAAGAGATGGGAATTCCAAACCACCTGACCTGTCTCTTGAGAAACCTGAATGCAGGTCAGGAAGCAACAGCTAGAACTGGACATGGAACAACAGACTGGTTCCAAATAGGAAAAGGAGTACATCAAGACTGTACATTGTCACCCTGCTTATTTAACTTATATGCAGAGTACATCATGAGAAATGCTGGGCTGGAGGAAGCACAAGCTGGAATCAAGATTGCTGGGATAAATATCAATAATCTCAGATATGCAGATGACACCACCCTTATGGCAGAAAGTGAAGAACTAAAGAGCCTCTTGATGAAAGTGAAAGAGGAGAGTGAAAAAGTTGGCTTAAAGCTCAACATTCAGAAAACTTAAGATCATGGCATCCGGTCCCATCACTTCATGGCAAATAGATGGGGAAACTGACTTTATTTTTCTGGGCTCCAAATTCACTGCAGATGGGGATTGCAGCCATGAAAATAAAAGATGCTTACTCCTTGGAAGGAAAGTTATGACCAACCTAGACAGCATATTAAAAAGCAGAGACATTACTTTGTCAACAAAGGTCCGTCTAGTCAAGGCTGTGGTTTTTCCAGTGGTCATGTATGGATGTGAGAGTTGGACTATAAAGAAAGCTGAACGCAGAAGAATTGATGCTTTTGAACTGTGATGTTGGAGAAGACTCTTGAGAGTCCCTTGGACTGCAACGAGATCCAACCAGTCCCTCCTAAAGGAGATCAGTCCTGGGTGTTCATTGGTAGGACTGATGTTGAAGCTGCAACTCCAATACTTTGGCCACCTGATGTGAAGAGCTGACTCATTGGAAAAGACCCTGATGCTGGGAAAGATTGAGGGCAGGAGGAAAAGGGGACAACAGAGGATGAGATGGTTGGATGGCATCACTGACTCAATGGACATGGGTTTGGGTGGACTCCAGGAGTTGGTGATGGACAGGGAGGCCTGGTGGGCTGTGGTTCATGGGGTCGCAAAGAGTCAGACATGACTGAGCAACTGAACTGAACTGAACTGATACACAGGGGTAATATAAAGCATTCATAAGAAATCCTATCAGGACCACAATGCATGCTGCAGAGGCCCTGCTCTTGGAAAGCCATGTGCAAATATCATAGTTCCC